ATACAGTACTCTGATAGGACTCTGAACTTGTTCCTTGTCTGGAAAAGGTTAAAAGTTGGAGATGCTTTTTTTCCTTCCAGTTTTACTGAGATATAACCGACCTACAGCACTGTATAAGTTTCAGGCGTACAGCATCATGATTTGACTTAACATACATCATGAAATGACTACCATGATAAGCAAGATTACAGGTCTTTTAAAATGTTAGCTGATAAACAAAACTTGTCAGAGGGGAGGAAGAAAATTTCATCCACCATGTGCCATGTTCTGTGGTATGTTTTCACATTTATAAAATGTAATATAATAAACTATCACAACACCCCTGCTTTTGGCATCATTCAGCGCTTAGTAAGTGCCAGGGGCTGGATATGAGCTCAGATGCAGTGGTCTACCCATGTGAGAGAAAAGCTTTCCTCCTTTGGCGATGTGAATGAAAATGCAGGTTCTTTCCTGCAGAAAATGGCCCTTGGAAGAGTTTCATGGTTGGAATATCATTTTTTGCAGCATCAAAGAATCTCAACTGGGATAATAAATACCTGTTGTTCTCACAACATCTTTTTGAGAACAGAGCATATTTCTGACAGCTCAGTGCAGAAATGCTTGAGGTCTGGACTTTTTACTTGCAATGAAAATGAAAAATTAAAATTTAAGCCTGGTCTCACTGGTACATATATGGATGTTTTCAATTTGTGACTCATTGAGCTGTAGGTTTATGATTTTTGCATGTTTCTATCTGTATGCTATAATTCAGTTTTCCAAAAGTTCATTTTTAAAAAGACCAAACAAAAAGTTATCACGGGAAAACTAGGGGTGTTCCAAGTCTGCATAAACTAAGCAAGTCACATAACCACATCCCAATTCTTCTTTATCTGTAAAAAATAAAGTTAACAGAATAAGCTGCCACTGTCTTCTAAGAGATGAGCTTCTATTATCTTTACTTGGTCAGACCACGACTGAGTTTCTAAAGTCAGACCTCCCACCTCCACAATAAGAAATTTTTTAAAAAGTTCCCTTCAATCCTGAATTTTAAAACAAATTTCTTGGTGATACAACAGAACTTGCCAGTAACACTCTTGCAATCCTATGTTTATTTGCATAATCTCAGAATGATTCATAGAAAACAAATACTTTGCCTTTCCTCAGGTTTGGCCAGGACATATGAATCCTTAAGTGTTGTAGGACAGTAAGAAAGAATGTTGAAACATTTGTAAAATTTTCCATGAAAATTAACATTGAGAAAGAAATTACTCCCTTTTACTCTGAATATTCATCCAGAATTTAACCCCTCATCTGGTTGACTACCCTGAAAATAAGGTACAACTGGTCAAATGGAAAACAGAGTAAAGGCATTTATGTATGATTATCCTCATTATAGGCAAAAATAAAAGTTTTACCCCAGTGCTAACATCAGATCTCATAAGGAACATATCAAGTTTAATATGAAATGTGTGTTACACTTTTTCTTTTAAAATTTAATTTATTGAAAGTACAGAGGTGGAGAAGAGCTGGTACTGCAGAGTCCTTAAATTCATCTTGGGAAGTACGGTCTGACCACATGTGTAAGCTGAATTATTCTTTACATTACTGCAGAGTGCAGCCTTATTTGATTAGCTTATTTCAGTTATATTCTTTTTTTCCTACATGTTATTTTGATTTTCAAAACCAAAGGAGAGTTTTAAAATAGTACAATGAACACCCAAAACTCCTCACCTAAACTGATTTTTGCCATATTTCTTCTTTCTGAGTGTGCATGTGCTTGTGTGTGCTGAGCCACTTGAAATTAACTTGCTGATATCACCCCTAAGTACATTGGCATGTATCTCTTTAGAACAAGGACACCCGCTTACATAACCATAATATCATAATTTCTCTCAAGAAATTTAACACTGATAAATAATACCATCTAATACACAATTTATAGATATAACAATATATTAAGGATAGTCATCATCAAATGCCCCCAATTATAATAATAATAGTTTTTTTGGACAAAGGATCAAATCAAAGATCACACAGTGCACTTAGGGATCATGTATCTTAAGTGTATCTTAACTTAGATCATTTTTCTGCTCCTTTTTTTTTTTTCCTTCTGTCTTTCATGACACGGAGATATTTTGAACTCTAGGTGTGTTTTTTTGTAACATGTCATACAATCTAGATTTGCCTGATGGTTTTCTCATGATAGTCAAACATGTTTTAGAAACAAAAACGCTATACATGCATGCTTGCATCCTGTTGTTTTTCCACATACATCCTGTTTTCCCATTTCTGAGACTTTGCTCATACAGACCATCTCTTTAATACACTTCTCCTACACCATCTCTAGGAGGCCTGGTTTGAGGTTGAACCTTCTCTAGAGTGATTTCCCTAATGTCTTCCATCCTGAAGTAATCTTTAAATTTCCAGACTATATTAGCTTTTCTCTTCTTATAGCATTTACATTTTTAAAAACTTTGCATTATTATTTTTATTCACATCTTTTAACTTTTCCCCAAAGAAAGCCACCTAGGGCAGGTCTAATTTTTCTTTGTGTCCTCCCTGAAATCTAGCATATCGTAGTTCACACAGTAGGCAATCAGTATATACATTTGTTGCAACAATGGATGGATGGATGAATAAATGAATGAAAATAGTATCTCTGGTTTCAGAGATACAGTGAGTTAGTTAAGAATTTAATAGTTTTTTAAAAGTTTAATTTCATCACAAGTGCATTTTCTACACCTAGAATAGTCTACTTAATTAAAAATTAAAATTTTAGTTCTAATGAAAACAAAATCATGTATATTATATGCCTTAGTATGTGTGAGCGTGCTCACTCACTTCAGTCGTGTCAGACTCTCTGCAACCCCATGGACTAAAGCCTGACAGGATCCTCTGTGCATGGGATTCTCCAGGCAAGAATACTGGAGTGGGTTGCCATTTCTTCCCCCAGGGGATCTTCCTGACCCAGGGATTGAGCCTGCATCTCCTGCGTCTTCTGCATCGCAGGCAGATTCTTTACCACTGAGCCACTGGAGAAGCTCCATGCCTTAGTACAGCTCTTTTAAAAGGCATTGAGGGAAGCCTTTCAACCTGAAGTTTATTCTTTAGCTTTGAAAAATAGTCTTGTATTATTTCTTTGATAATTTCCTCTTTGTTTTCTGTTCCTTTTGGAATAAAGTCCTAAAAGTCAGACTTTGAAATTTCTGGACTGCTTTCCTACATCTCATCTTTTCTTTCATACTTTCTACCTTCTACTTTTTAAAAGGTTTTCTTCTAACCTATTATTGATCTTTTTAAATTTTGGAAACCATGTTCTTAATTTCCAAGAGTTCTGTTTTTGTTTTTTGAATAGCCTTTTAAATAGCATCCATTTCTTGTTTTAGGGTACAATACTTTTGCAAATCTCTATGGAAATACTGGCTCAGATGGTAAATAATTCTCCTGCAATGCAAGAGACCTGGGTTCAATTCCTGGATTGATAAGATCCCCTGGAGGAGGGAATGGAAACCCAGTCTAATATTCTTGCCTGGAAAATCCCATGAACAGGGAGCTTAGCAGGCTACAATCCATGGGATCACAAACAGTTGGATATAACTGAGTGGTTAACACTTTTCGGTTTTTTTCATGGAAATATTAGAACTTACTGAAAATTTTCTTCTGTTCCCTGCATTACCTCTGTTAAAGCTTTCTTAAAACCTTCTTATTTTTATCTTGGTCTTTCCCTCATTAGACATGTTATATATTAAGCATGAAAACCTCTGTGCACTGAAGGTAACTCCGTGTACATGAGCCAGGTTTGCCAACTGCTAGGTTGGCTATAGGTTAATTAAATTTTGAGTTAGGTATTATGATGTGCAAACTCCCAACTGTAAAAACATAAAGGTCTCTTCTCTGACATCATACAATTTCTGTAGAAAAGCCTTTCTTTTTTTTTTTTTTGGCCTAGGGAGTAACATCTCATTCTGAATGGTCACCCAGCAGTGGGGTATGTGTTTGCGTGTTTTCTGTTCCTTAGTCAGACTTTTAGTTAACCCTCTGTTTTCAGTTATGCATTTCACCCCTTCCCTCTGTATCCTCTGCATCAGCCCGCTAAGCCTCAGCTTTATCCTGCCGCATCAGTTACTATTCATCTTCTATCTACATGTCACCTTCCACCTTCCAGAGAGATGTGGAAATCTCTCAACCTCCAATGGACTCTCCTGCTCTTGGTATGAGTTTACATTTTCATTTTACTTGTTTACCATCATTTTGGTGGAGTCTTGCGAAGGAGAGGAGATAAATACGCATATTTAATTTGCCACCTTTAATTGGACTGCTTAATTTTAAAAATGTTTGTGTTACAAACTTCCCTCTCCTATAAATCTGGTCTTGTGAATAATGTAAAGTTCCTACCAAGAAGATTAAAGAAGTGATTCTCTATATGATTATGGGAGTAAGGTTCAGGTAACTCCGGGTGGTTTAAAGTTTCTTATTGAGTAATCTGGAAAGTACTAAAGATACTGCTCAGAGCAGAGCGAGATAAACTCTCCCTTCATGACTTCAAAAGTCTGGTTACTTATTTACAACTGGGATAAGACAAACAGTCAAACAACTAGAGAACTGCTACAAACCACTTGTACAGTTAACTTTTTATCCTGCTACCAAAACCATGCTCTGTCCAAATCTTTGATGACCCTAGCTCTCCAACATTGGGAGGAGAACGAGCTGCAGCGTCACAAAGGTATGCCCCTCCCAAGTCCTACTCACTCACAAAGAACTTCCCCTTTGAGCTTCTAGGACACTGGCTGGTTACTCACACCATAGATTCCTCAGGATTGGCTGGGACAGAAAATAAAACACTGTTTGCCCATAATCAAGTCGATAAGCTACAACGTAAATGCACGTAAGTTCCTATTCTAAGACTATATCATGAAGCATTTGCTCTCTTCTTTCTTAACATTTTCATGCAAGACCTGGAAAGGAAACACTGGCTCCGGCCATTAGAAAAGGTCTTCAAAGAAAAATTTTAAAAGCCTAAAATGGGTCTGTTGAATTCTAAGAAGCCTGAAGCCAAGCAAGCCCGAATTCTGCTTCTGGGACTTGAGTCTGCTGGGAAGTCTACTCTCCTTTACAAATTGAAGCTTGAAAAGGATATTGTGACTATGCCAACAGTAGGTTTCAACGTGGAGATGCTTGAGTTGGCAAAGGGTGTCTCGCTTACGGTCTGGGACGTTGGAGGACAAGAGAAAATGAGAACCATGTGGGACCTCTACTGTGAAAACACTGATGGGCTAGTGTATGTTGTGGACAGTACGGACACACAGCGACTGGAAGACTCCAGGCAAGCGTTTGAGCACATCTTGAAGAATGAGCACATTAAAAACGTGCCTGTGGTCTTGTTAGCCAACAAACAAGATGTGCCTGGAGCTCTAAGTGCCAAGGACATCACGAGGATGTTCAAAGTGAAGCAACTCTGCAGTGACCGGAACTGGTACGTGCAGGCCTGCTGTGCCGTCACTGGGGACGGGCTAATGGAGGGGTTCCAGAAGTTAACTGGGTTTTTGAAAAGCCGCATGAAATCAAGAGGAGATGCTTTAGCATTCTTCAAGCAGCACTGAGGTCCAAGTGGAGGAAGAGATGCTGACGAAGTTGAAAGGGTAATTGTTTTTTTTCCAGGCCAAGTAAGAAAAGCAAATTGCTAAGTTGACAAACTTTTCCTGAAATGTTATTTCACCTAAATTCCATTAAACAACTAGGAGTAATATCTGGAAAACTGTTACTTTGGGCCAAACACTTTAGCAAACGATGTGGTAATGATAATTGTGAATGAAAATGTTACAATTTTGTGCATGTTTGATGATTCTAAATAATCATATTTGGGAACAAATAAATTCTTGCCTTATTATTTTTATGTGACTGCTAGAACAAAGTTTAAGCTGCCAATAGAGTCAGACTTCTTTCAGGCTGTTTCCAGCTGTTACAGGTATTCAATTTCCACCAGGCTCCTGTGTAATAGCTGGGTGGTATAAAAAAATGAACTTTAAATTTTGAAGAGGAAAATGTGTGCTGTTAACATTTTATAAATCCCTATTCTCTAAACAAAGGGATTTTGTTTTGTTCTGTTTTACTGTATTCCTGCTATGTTTTTGAAATCTATTGCTAGAAACTTCTTACAGTGAGTCAACCCTGAACCCCAGGCTGCCAAGTGCCCAGTGGCTGTGTTCTATGGGGAGCAGAAGTTTGTATCTTAGAGCGCTGGGGATCAAGAGAGCTTCTTAGAGTTTAGGGCAAGGTCTGGACTTATTGTCCAGCTGGAGGCTGCAATTCCAAGACTGGCTTTGGTAGAATTCAATATAACAGTTACTATTTGGGAACGTATGTACAGCTCACTGTACTGATCAAACAGGAACCAGAGCCATACTTTGCTCTCAGAGACCCGGCAATTCACAGGAGAGACAAACAAAATAAAGGCAGCAGATAGAATAAACCAGGAAGTGCTAAGAGCTGTAACAGGAGAGCCTCATTCTGACCTGGGGAAACAAGAAGTGCTTCATGCAGGAGGTGGTGTTAAGTCCCAACTCTAGGGGACCCTGTGGAAGGTACAGGTTAGTCACTGGAAGGTCCCATCACTTGGAGATTCTGCAGAGACATTGCTGGGGAAGGGAAGAAGGGAGAAAGAACTGGAGATTGAACTGGAATTCCCCTGAGAGGCTCAGAAGTCCCAGAGAGGCCCTGGAACTAACAGAAGACACTCTTTCCCTCCACCCTACCGCCAACAAGGCTCATCTGGGTTAGAAGCAGGCCTCAGGCCACCACTGCGGCCCCTGGGACTCCGAATTGTAAGGTCACAAAGGAAAATAAGCGTACAGTAAAGCAAGGGTGCTTGCTCCTGGATCCCGGCTGCAGTTTTTTTCTCTCACCCTAGCCCTGATTTGTTGTTTGGCCACAAATCCTTCTGTGTTGCATGGCAGGGATTCAAGTAATAAAGTAGATGTATCTTTAATGAGTTACCATTGGTTGAATACTGTGTGTGCCCGGAACTGTGTTAAACACTTTCAAACATCTACTCATTTAATGTTCATAACTGCCTGGAGGGAAAGAGGCACTTCAAGGCCTACGCTGTTAATTGCCATGCTGTTGTTTTGTAAATAAGGTATGGCCTCTGTCTTCACTGAGCTCAATGAAGGATAAATTCAGGACTTCCCTGGTGGCACAGTGAATAAGACTCTGCCAGCCAAGGGAGGGAACACAGGTTTGATCCCCGGTCCAGGAAGATTCTACAGGCTGCGGAGTAACTGAGCCCGCGGCCCAGAACAGCTGAGCCACACTCTAGAGCCCACGAGCCACAACCACTGAAGCCCGTGTGCTCTGGGCCCTTGAACTACAACTACGAGCCTGTGCGCCATAATTACTGATGCCTGCGTGCCTAGAGCCTGTGTTTTGCAATGAGAGAAGCCACTGCAATGCGAAGCCCACACCCTGCAATGCAGAGTAACCCCCGCTTACCTCAACTAGAGAAAGCCTGTGCTCAGCAATGAAGACAGTGCAGCCAAAAATAAAAACATTTTTTAAAAAAGGATACCTTCAAGCTAAATAGTACTCGGCCATAAAAAAGAATGAAATAATGCCATTTCCTGCAACATGGATGGACTTGCAAGTTATACTAAGTGAAGTAAGGCAGACACAGAAAGACAAATATCATATAATATTGCTTATATGTGGAATCTAAAAGAAAAAAAGGATACAAATAAACTTATATACAAAATAGAAATAGACCCACAGACATGGAAAACAAACTTATGGTCATCAAAGGGGAGAGGGGTTGAGTTTGGGATTAACATACACGCACTACTGTATATAAAATAGATAATCAACCTGGCCTTATTGTATAGCACAGGAAACTATACTCAATATTTGTAATAACCTATAAGGAAAAGAATCTTAAAAAAAGACATATATGTAAGCATTACTGAATCACTTTGCTGTATATCTGAAATGAAAACAACATTGTAAAACAGCTATACTTTAAGAAAAATAAAATAAGTAAATAAATATAAAAATAAATCCAAGCTAAAATAAAAATAGAAGAACACTATGGTCCTGCAATCCAACTTCTAGGTATATATTCAAAAGAAATGAAATCATTATCTTGAAGAGATATCTGCACTCCCACATTCATTACATTATTTATAGTAAATCAAGACATGGAAATGCCAAAGAACGTTCAAACTATTGCACAATTGCAATCATCTCACATGCTAGCAAAGCAATGCTCAAAATTCTGCAAGCCAGGCTTCAACAGTACATGAACCGTGAACTTCCAGATGTTCAAGTTGGATTTAGAAAAGGCAGAGGAACCAGAGATCAAATTGCCAACATCCGCTGGATCATCAAAAAATCAAGGGAGTTCCAGAAAAACATCTATTTCTGTTTTATTGACTATGCCAAAGCCTTTGACTGTGTGAATCACAATAAACTATGGAAAATTCTGAAGGAGATGGGAATATCAGACCACCTGACCCGCCTCCTAAGAAATCTGTATAAAGGTTAAGAAGCAACAGTTAGAACTGAACATGGAACAACAGACTGGTTCCAAATTGGGAGAAGAGTATGTCAAGGCTATATATAGTTACCCTGCTTATTTAACTTATATGCAGAGTACATCATGTGAAATGCTGGGCTGGATGAAGCACAAGCTGGAATCAAGATTGCCGGGAGAAATATAAATAACCTCAGATATGCAGATGACACCACTCTTATGGCAGAAAGCAAAGAAGAACTAAAGAGCCTCTTGATGAAAGTGAAAGAGGAGAGTGAAAAAATTGGCTTAAAACTCAAAACTCAGAAAACGAAGATCATGGCATCTGGTCCCATCATTTCATGGTAAATAGACAGGGAAACAATGGAAACAGTGACAGACTTTATTTTGGGGGGCTTCAAAATCACTGCAGAAGGTGACTGCAGCCATGAAATTAAAAGACGCTTGCTCCTTGGAAGAAAAGCTATGACCAATCTAGTTCAGTTTAGTTTAGTCGCTCAGCTGTGTCTGACTCTTTGCAACCCCATGAACTGCAGCACACCAGGCCTCCTTGTCCATTACCAACTCCCAGAGTCTACCCAAACCCATGTCCATTGAGTCAGTGATGCCATCCAACCATCTCATCCTCTGTCGTCCCCTTCTCCTCCTGCCCTCAATCTTTCCCAGCATCAAATGAGTCAGCTCTTCGTATCAGGTGGCCAAAGTATTGGACTTTCAGCTTCAACATCAGTGCTTCCAATGAACATCCAGGACTTATCTCGTTTAGGATGGACTCGTTGGATCTCCTTGTAGTACAAGGGACTCTCAAGAGTCTTCTCCAACACCACAGTTCAAAAGTATCAATTCTTTGGCACTCAGCTTTCTTTATAGTCCAACTCTCACATCCAAAAATGACCACTGGAAAAACCATAGCTGTGACTAGATGGACCTTTGTTGACAAAGCAATGTCTCTGCTTTCTAATTATGCTAAGTTGCTCATAACTTTCTTTCCAAGGAGCAAGCGCCTTTAATTTCATGGCTGCAATCACCATCTGCAGTGATTTTGAAGCCCAGAAAAATAAAGTCAGCCACTGTTTCCACTGTTTCCCCATCTACTTGCCATGAAGTGATGGGACCAGATGCCATGATCTTAGTTTTCTGAATGTTAAGCTTTAAGCCAACTTTTTCACTCTCCTCTTTCACTTTCATCAAGAGGCTTTTTAGTTCCTCTTCACTTTCTGCCATAAGGGTGGTGTCACCTGCATATATGAGGTTATTGATGTTTCTCCCGGCAATTTTGATTCCAGCTTGTGCTTCCTCCGGCCCAGTGTTTCTCATGATGTACTCTGCATATAAATTAAATAAGCAGGGTGACAATATATAGCCTTGACGTATTCCTTTTCCTATTTGGAACCAGTTCCTTGTCCAGTTCTAACTGTTGCTTCCTGACCTGCATACAGGTTTCTCTAGAGGCAGGTCAGGTGGTCTGATATTCCCATCTCCTTCAGAATTTTCCATAGTTTATTGTGATCCACACAGTTAAAGGCTTTGGCATAGTCAATCAAGCAGAAATAGATGTTTTTCTGGAACTCTCTTGCTTTTTTGATGATCCAGCGGATGTTGGTAATTTGATCTCTGGTTCCTCTGCCTTTTCTAAAACCTGCTTGAACATCTGGAAGTTCATGGTTCATGTATTGCTGAAGCCTGGCTTGCAGAATTTTGAGCATTAATTTACTAGCATGTGAGATGAGTGTAATTGAGCGGTAGTTTGAGCATTCTTTGGCATTGTCTTTCTTTGGGATTGGAATGAAAACTGCCCTTTTCCAGTACTGTGGCCACTGCTGAGTTTTCCAAATTTGCTAACATATTGAGTGCAGCACTTTCACAGCATCATCTTTTAGGATTTGAAGTAGCTCAACTGGAATTCCATCACCTCCACTAGCTTTGTTCATAGTGATGCTTCCTCAGGCCCACCTGACTTTACATTCCAGGATGTCTGGCTCTAGGTGAGTGATCACACCATTGTGATTATCTGAGTCATGAAGATCTTTTTCATACAGTGCTTCTGTGTATTCTTGCCACCTCTTCTTAATATCTTCT